CCCCCCCCCCCCCCCCCCCCCCCCTTTTTTTTTTAACTGGATCTCAAACGTTTGTACGTGGAAAGGCGAAGTCCTAAATACCTGTATATGCCAGCTAGACTATGCGGAAGTAGGTGTACACAATCAGCATGGGGTACGGTGGCGCCATTCGATCCATGACAGAAAGTCCTTGACGCAGTCTCGAAGTCTCAAAGTGAAGAAAGAGAGCTAGATTCCACTGAAGAAGAAAGCATTTGAACGTCCCAGTTCTTTGGCAGAGTCATCGACCGTAAACGTTCCACATAGACTCGGTTGGTATTTGAATTAGAGCGCCAACCCCGGTACAGGCCTACCATTCCACTGTTCACTATATCTCTAGTCGTGGCACCTTGCGTGGGAATCGTGGCACCTTGCGTCCAGTTTGGAGAGGGAGAGGCAGACAGGTAGCCTACATCGCAATCGTGCCCTTCCATCCGGGCATTCTCGACTCGAAGGCTTTCGCTAGGCAGCCTCGTGAGCAGGGATGCCAACATGTGCTTGGACGTCGGAGGGCGATCGGGCATCCTGTCGTTATGGGGAGTCGATGGAAGTCCTCTCGGGTCTCAATGAATTCTTCGCGTCTGATAAGGGAGGAGGTATTCCCGCGAGGATTCACCTGTCCTTTTTTTTTCAAGCTTTCACACGCTTTTGACAACCGCTGATATCACTTACGGCTATCATCAGTAGGGTCTGTTTCTCATTTAGTTCGCATTTTCCTGTGGCTGAAAGTATCTGTAGGACTGCGAGGATGAAGGTTCGTTTATATCACGACACCTCGTATGGTACGTGGTTGTGCAATTCCTTGCACGACACCGATCTGCATCATTAGGTGCTAATCGTACCTCGTGACACGATTCTTCGTAAGAAAACGTAATGGTTATTGTCCCGTTCCTCGTCGCGATCGGAAAGAAGTCCGTGACCAGTGAACGAGTGGGCTTTTCTGCGAGCCAGAGAAAGTGCTGAAAGGAAGACTAAAATACTGGGTTAGTAGAAAGTTTCTTGGCGGTTTCGGACTGCTTTACCACGCAAACTGTGCGTAGTAGAGCAATAATATATGGTGGAAACATAAGACCACGGAAAAGAGAAATGTAGGATCATCGAAAACGGCCACCAGGAGGCGCGAACCAAGAAATTTGCACACACTGAAGGGTGTAAAACCACTGGCCACCCTGTCGAAAGTCGGTCTAACGATAGAGACGCGACTATCTGCTCTGGGATATTATTATCGCAATAACAGCAGGGCTGGGGAGGCGCTGAGGTCGTTTCGGCACGATGTAGGCAACCTTGAAGGACCTTGCGGGGCCGATGCACCCCGACCCCCCCCCCCCCTCCGTGGAAATTGTCGCCGAAGCGGGGCAAGTGGCAGCTGAGGTTTCACATGGAAATCCTCATGCGGAAGGCGGCACCGATCGAGTCGCCAGATAGGCGGAATCCCCCAATCGACTGTGTGGATAGCGATGCGGAAAACACGGAAACTGTTGCCATATGGGACAAAGCAATTCCGAGAACTGCAACCAGGAAACATATGAGCAAGGTTGGATTTCGTGCTCCAGCTTTTGGCCCGACGACTGGTTCCACGACATCCTGTGGGGGGGGGGGGGGGACCCAGTCCTCATGTTGTGTTTGGACAACCATTGAATTCCGTAAAGTGACGATGTGGTGTGGATTCTGGAGCGGCTTCATCATTCGGTCTCATTTCGTTGAGGAGCCATCCATCCATCAAAGACATGGATGGGAGTCACATTTCAGCAAATTTAGCGCCACCCCGGTGGCCGTTGCCACTGACAATACTCTTCCCCATGATGGCATCGGTGTTTTCACCAAATATTACAGCTGTACGATACATAATTTGCATAGTACAACCGTCTGGAGACCAAGAAACTTAATACTAAAACTGCATGAGACAATTAAAAATGGCGTTGACCCAGGTGATACCGACTCTGCACCCATTTTCCTCACTTTTCTTCCAGATAAAGTGCAAGGACAAACACAAAGTGGGGAAGAAAAAAACACACTAGGCAACAAAAAAGACCATCGAGAAACTTACAGCATGCGCGGCTAGCATGAAGAAAGTCGAGGCGATAAATTTTCTCTACGTCCTGGTCCTGAGCACGACAGTGTTCCTGATTTTCACCTACAAGGAGCTGACGGAGACGAAGAGCCCGGGCGGAAGGATGCGTCTGCTCTGGAACTGGAGGTCGGTGCAGGAGAGCTACCACCTCGCCGTCTATCCGTGCATCGAATCTTTTCGAGTCAGAGCTCACCTGCCCGTGATCTACGTCGTCACCCCGACGTATCCCCGGCCCACGCAAATCCCCGAATTGGTTCGTCTGGCTCAAACACTCATGACGGTCCCGAACCTGTTCTGGATCGTGGCAGAGGATGCCCCGATTTTGAACCCCCGGGTCGCCTCGTACCTCGACGGCACTGGCATCTGCCATGCGTACCTCGCGGGTAAACGAGAAGCGGCTTTACGACTTTCGGCCGTAGATGGAAACACGGCTCCGATATTACATCTGGAGGTTATTGTTTTCATTTTTTTTTTTCCCGAAAGCTCCGATGCCAGAGTCGTATCGAGGCGAATTAAAGACGCCAAGAGGAGTCTCCAACAGGCGAGCGGGAATGGATTGGATCAGGAAACACGTCACAGAAGGAGTCATGTACTTCGCCGACGATGACAATACATACCATCTCGACGTATTCGAAGAGGTAAAGAAAATATTTACATCATGCTAATCATTGAACTGTCAAGGTCCATGAACGTTCCCCTTTCCCTCTATTCCCAACCTTTATTCATCCTTGGGCATTGCTGCTTCAGTTTCGAAGATGGACTTTACTGTTCGGTTGCTCGAAGGCGATCAAGTTAAATACAGGGTGTTTCAAAAGTAACGGTGCAGGAGAGTCTTGTACAGAAAGATAAGCCGTTCGGAAAAACGCATTTAGTGCTGGTGTTTAAGTGCAACGAAAACAATACAAAGTAGATGAAGACCATTTTGAACTGAAATTCATGAAGAGTTCAGCAGCAAATCCATAGCAATGGCTGAAAATGCGAAACAGCTTTTTCGTTTACAGTGCAGATACTTTTGAGACACCCCGTACATTTCGAATTTGATGTTGCAAAGAAAAATTTCCAATATCTTTTCTGCAAATATGATGGAACCCCATCATAGATATTAGCAAATTTTTTCTTCACGATCTTTAACTTTAAATACCTTTCTATCGTGCATTTGAATGCATGCCGTTGGATGAAGCCGGTGTCCTCATCAAAGTTGCGACATTTCTCTGTCAACGCTAATTCGTCAGCATTTCAAACATTTATGGTCGTAAATGGACCAGCATTTAGAAATCATCGAGCGATTCTGCATTTGCAATGTCGGCCGTCGGCCTGGACCGACCGACGAGTCGGAGGAAAGTTTTCCATTCGGTTCCTTTTCGAGGTTCCCATTTGGCTTTTTTTTTGCAGATGCGTTGGACGAAGAAAGTGTCGATGTGGCCGGTGGGCCTGGTGACCCACCTGGGCGTGTCCTCGCCCGTCGTCATCGACGGCAGAGTCATCGGTTTCTACGACGGGTGGATAGAAGGGCGCAAGTTCCCCGTCGATATGGCCGGATTCGCCGTCGGCATCCCGTTCTTCCTCTCGGTACGCTTCAGTCCCAGAAGTACTTGTACCTCCCGAGGATGGCCGCGAGAGCAGGACTCGAGCCGGATCCCTTTACTAATCCAGGGATTAACAGATAGGACGAGCGTGTTGACGATTTCCTCAAGGTCTCGCAACTTCTTTTGCTTGGCGTTTGAGAAGGATTTCTGAAGATTAATTTAATTTTTTTCTAACAGTATATCAGTCGGTGCCTACCGGAGACTCAAAGTTAAAAATCCATCTATGAAATGATAACCTATCGTCGGTCCGTCCGCCAGAGGCTCGGACGGGTCGGCTTTCCGAACCCGACCGATTCGAATCATGGCCCGTTACTAACCTGGAAACTCGATCGTCGACGATTTGCGGGGTCGGTCCCCAGCCCGCTTAGGTCTCTAAATTGAGAGTGCGAAGTCGCTGATGGGATTTCTATTTTTTCATCCCATGCACTTGGATGCTCCAATTTCAAACGGTGCGTCTCATTTGAATGCTATGGGACGGAACTCCTTGAAAATTGGTATTTAGGGGAATGGGGAGAGGGGGGGGTTATGATGGGATGTACCCAATGTAATTGATCTGAAATATGTCTGTTCAAAATTCCAGCGATGTGTCTCATTAGAGTGCTATTGGATGGAAGTCGATTAGCTTCATTATGAGGACGTGAATATATCACGGGTTCAGATAATAATCTCATAAATCTACAAACATTGGATGAAAGAAATAAATAATGAGAAATCTTTCTGGAACGCCAAGTAAACTAAATCTCGAAAGGCGAAACCCTAGCATTAATGTCGGAATATCTGATCTTGTAAGCACGTTTACGTTTCGGGTCGATGATGGGCTGGCGAGGCTCCAGAATTCCCACGTTTTTTTTTTAAGCAAAATGTTTACTTCCCGCTCGGAAGCGTGAAATCGGTTGCGTTTTTTGCGAACAGAAAGTAGATGCAGAGATGCCTTACAGGGCAGGCTTCGAGGAGGATGGCTTCCTCAGGAGCCTCGAGATCTCCGTGGACGACGTCGAGCCCAAAGCCGACAACTGCACCAAGGTATTCGCTTCTCTGTTTTTTTTTGTTGTTGTCTTTTTGTTGTCTTTTTTGTCTTTTTTAAATGTTGGGTTTTGAAACGCCGCTCTGGAATCGTTGGAATTCTGCGTTTTCTTGACCTGAAACTGAAGGTCGTGATGGCACCCTGTAATTATGCATACTTTGGCTTGGAAGGAAATTCAACTCAACTTTTCTAAATTGTTTTTGAGAAAGAATGGAATGTCCCTGTAAGTTAAGATCTCGGCATTCAGATCCTATGGGGGGAAATGTGCGAATCTCAATTCCCTTTATGTCATGTAAATATCGAGTAAATCTTAAATAATTTTCAATGAGCTCTCAGTGAAGGAGACATACAGTCATACTCTACAATTTTTTTTTTAGCTTCTCGCCCTTTTAAACTCAAGTGGAAGAATTAAAGAACGAAATCATTGCTTGTGGATTTACATGACAGACTTCCAGAGAAATTTCCTCAACTGGAGCAACACGAGCTAATTTTCCTATTTCGACCCGTGAGAGCAAGTGAGAGGGAGAGAGAGAGAGAGAGAGAGAGAGAAATGAAACCGATTTCACTTGCAGATTTACGTGTGGCACACGAGAACCCAAAAAGCGACACCAGCCCCGAAAATCGCCACGAACATAACCCATTTCACCGACTCGAATCTCAGTGCCTTGGAGAAGGAACTCTTCTTGGAAACCTCGGAATCCGCCTTCCACTAGAGGAATCGCTCGACCGAAGGAATCAGACACTGCGACTGCGAACCGAACCCACCGACTCCCGCATGTTAAGCGTCCCTCGTGTTTCTCCTCGTCGCAATGCGTCATCAATTTATTGTTCGGCGTGAATTATAAGAATTTATGCTATTAAAACAGCACGAAAATGCTACATTTATTTGGACCCTCGAGGAATTTGGGCCTTTACAACTTAAAAAAAAATTACAGAGGCGAAGAAGCGAGCATCGATCGCAAATGGTTAAAGTTGTCGTCGTGTGCGAAATATCGTTTCTCTCTCAGGTGTCTCCGGAAACGTCGACGTATTTAAACAGTGCGCATGAAACATGAAGGTGCTATTGGAACCATGAGACTTATTTCTGACTGCATTAAGAATAAAGCGTGGCTTCCGTGTTGACATGTTCTTCAGCGGGTTCTGGACTTCTCGACAATAAATCATAGAAGAGGCTTTTATAATTTAGCACGAGGGTGGATTGCAGAAAACTGACTTTAGCGTAATGGAGCTTTAAACCTCCGTTAGCGCTGCTAAAGGAGGTTTAAAGCTCAATTGCGCTAAAATCAGTTTTGTGCAATCCACTCCGAGTGTCTTATGCCAAAAATCGCGGGGAAAAAGATGCCTTACCAATGTCAAATCCCCTCTCAACTTTCACTTTCGGGTTCAAGCTGGAATCCAAACCGAGTCCATCAATCAATATTGACTCAATGTTGATCGATTTTCGCGGGATGTGGATGTTTTGCAGTCCAATGCAAAAGTACATATTGACTCGATTTTGGAACGAAACCGTGTCAACATTGTGAGAACATAGAATTCGTGTTGCAATTCAATGAAGAACTCCACATCTTGTCGGTGTTATATGAACGGGAGTCAGGGAGAGCCATCTGGCAGTTTCTCTAAAAACTACAGTTTCCACGATCCAAGTGGGATGGTGCTTAAATCGCCAATACATGAACTTTCCCCTTTTCGTCCCCCTTCCCCTCGTGTCGCAGAAAAACGACGGCAGGATTAGCGCCGACACGGAAATACTTGAACATCGCAGGGACGTCTGCAAGGAATAGCGAAGACAGGGAAGAACGAAGACAGGAATAACATCTGCCTTGAATAGTGCCGACACGGAATGACGTCGACAGCGCAGAAAAGCCGCGAGTGCAACATAGACCGAAGTGAACAGGAACGTAAGTTCCTCAGACGAAAAAAAAGGAATAAATACAAAATATAGCTATAAAGTAACCGCGTATGAAAGCCTCAGCAAACATAGCAGCATTTTGGGAACGTTCAGCGAGAGTCAATACAATGTCATCAACGTTGAAGGTCCTAGTGAAACGTTGCATGAATGTCTTAGCAGTGTTATGGCACTATGATGCCTTCTTAAACTGCATTTTTGAACAATGCTTCTGGTTACATGCAGATCCAATTGGGGAGAACTTTTTTTTCCAAGAAACGACCAAGAAAATATCCAGTGTCACTAACAAACGTTCCATTTAATGCTTCAGCTTCGACGTTCAGCAGCGTCATTCATCGAGGATCCTAAGAACGTGTCGTGAGATGAAAAATGCAAAGCGCCACGAAATGTTGAATCGCTGTTCAGAAGAAGCTTTGATGTGGAACGTGCCAATGCTTGCTGGGGAAAATTGAACCGATCTTGAACTTCGACCTGCACCCCGCCCCAGTAGCATCAGATATTAATCCAACGTTGGACCGTCATCGGGCACATTTTCTACATACATCGTGCAATTATTGCCAATATCGGCTAAATATTGGCAATATTGCCATTCCATCGATCCAAAATCGGATGGACGCGATGATCCAAAGGGCCCAAGTTGTATCATTTTTTTTACGCAAATGGTGAAGTTCTCCTCCATGGAGTCCCGCTTTTCGCACGGTACACAAAAGTGCGCTTCTCTCTTTCCACGGAATCATCTCTCACAGAGTGGTTAGTACCTCATTATGTTTCCCCTAGTCTCATTATGGCAATCAATGAAATCGGACACTAAATTATTCATCACCCCCATATTCGAGACATAATGATGGAGCCCAGACGATAAACAAGTTCATACTCGATATGAGAACCCCTTGCATGCTTTTACTTTTCAATACCTATGATGCATTTCTATAACTTTATTTTGAAAGTTCGCTATGGTAGTAGCTAACCCATCATCATTGGGGAAGGAAAGGACGATTCGAACCTATGGGTATTTCGCAGAGCAGGAAAGGGAGGACTGTTCCCCGGAAAGTACCATTATTAGTACGTGTATGAACGATATGCTTATTCCTTGATCGTCGTTATTGACCCAGTAGTATGGCTGCTATTGGGCTCCCTGCAAACTGTTTGAAACAAAGAACGTTGAATAAACGTTCGGAACTTCGATACAACGTCGTTCCAACGTAGCCTTGTTTGCTGGGTGATCCCTCGCAGGAGTGTTTAGTACCACACTATATGTTTCCTCTAATCTCATTATAGCAATCGATGACATCGGTCACTCATTCATCACCCCCATATTCGAGACATTATCACGGAACCCAGGGGATAAACAAGTTGATCCTCCCTATGAGAATCCCTTGCAAGTGTTCTTGGCCATACTTATAATGAGTTTCTATAACTTTATTGTGAATTTTCACTATGGTATTAGTTAATCCATCATCATGGGGGAAGGAATGGAAGATTCAAACGTATGGGTATCCATATGGATATTGGATATTGGATTATGGATTCAAACGTATGGGTATGGGTATCCATGGGTAACCTGGCACGGTAGTGCTTGACTTGCTCTCTGTAATCCTGTCAGGAGGAACTTTCAATTAAAATTGAGGTAATTGAGAAAAACTAACCTCGATTTCAGGGTTTTCAATTTTATGTGCTGCATAAAATGACGGGCTGAGAGTAAAGTGGTCCAGTTGCTGCATAGCTGGTTTGGTGCTCATAGGTCCTTGTTTCTTTCATAGAATTTTTTTTTTTTTAATTATATGAAAGATGAAGTGATCCATCGATGCAAACCACTTTTTCTCAACTTCAATTCGTCACCGGAATATTTTCTCTTCCTGTGTGGCGCCCAAGGAAATAATTTTTGCTGCAGATTGAACACTTTTACCTTTCAGCCCTTCAAATAAATAATGCCAGACTGGAAAGGACTAAGGAGCCGATCGATGGAATGTTCACTCATGCGGATGGCATTATGCACAAAAAAAACGTTGAATTATGCAGTACTTAGCATAGATCGCTCATCGCTCCTCGAACCTCTGTGGTCCGCTTTTCTAATATCCCTGGTCGTTTCGGCTGCTTCGTGGTGTCACGATGTCTCAAGATACGAAGCCCACGTTTTTTTTTAAAGCCTAATTTAGAACTTGATGTTTTACGTATTACCAGACTGGATGTCTCAGCGATCTCGTTCACTCCTCGGGGATGCAAGCCTTCATGAAACCGAGAAAGGATCGTCTCGAAAAGCCCCTGCTCTTTCTATGCCGTTAGACCAGGAATCCAACGAAACTTCTATCGAGGAAGCCGGACTTGAAGCGAACCCGAACAGCAAACATTCTTAAATTGGCAAATGCGAAGTCGAAAGCAAACCTTGGATCGGACATTTTTGCGTGGAGCATTTCCATGCATGCGTGTCGACTCGAGTGAGAACTCGGTATAATTAATAAAAGTTTAATGTGGAGTTGGTGCCGTGTCCTCTCTGGATGCATCGGCGCCATTTCTCCATAAAACTTTCGGATCGACTTTGCACGATGAAACTTTTGAAGGAAATCCGGGCCTGCACGCCTTCAAGGGCTCATCAGCGAGAATCGATCGGAAAAAAGAATCTGGCCGTTTCGTGGCAGATATCCGAGAAACTTTCAAATGCATCGTGTTCACTGTTCTCATCCCTGGCTCACTGTTCTCATCCCTGGCTCACTGTCCTCATCGACGAATTTTTTCTCAAGCAGGGACAGACGTGTTGTCATTTTCAAGGGAAAAGAGAAACTCGCTTCCGAGAATATTTTTCTCTTCCTGGATATAGCCGTCGGAGCAAAAAAGGTAATTCGGGGTAACTGTGATCACATGGACGGGTCAAGTGCGATCTTTCGTGATGCGACTTTTTCTTCCAGTCTTCACGACTTCCGAGATAAAAACAGAGAAACCGAAGCTTGTTCCTTCTGGCTTCTGGTGAAGAGGGTCAAATGTGAATTCCGAAATAAATCTGATGTCAGGCGGTCTATATTTTAATTTTACGGGATTTTCCATATTTTTTTTTTGGATCGAGAGAGCAAGCTCCTTTGATCATCAGAAAAAAATGATTTAAGCACAGAAATGCTGTTCAAATAATGTGACTGCCGCCTGGAAAACAATAAATAAACGTTGTGCTCCATTTCTTCCAGGCGAATCTATTGAAACATGCTCGAAAGGTGCATCGATTTTGCCGTTCTCAAAGAAACAAGAGCAATAAAAGGGGAATTCCGGAATTTTTTTTTTTTTTGCGGAAAAAAATTCTGTTATTTGCTCGTTTGCTCTTTGATGATCGCGCTTGCCGCTGAAACTGGGTGAGTGTGCTTAAAAATTTGCTTAAGTTGAGTGAAAACGCTTAAAAATAGGTTGTTCAAAATAATCACGCTGACAGTTTCGGCTGAATCGCCCTTGCATTTTTGACCTTGTGACCGCATTTTCCCCGAACGACCTTTTAAAAAATGAACCCAAAAGGAGATGAGCGACATCACGATGTGTCGGGTCTCGCTTCTCGCACGGTACACAAAAGTGCACTTCTCTCTTTCCATGGAATCATCCCTCACAGGAATGTTTAGTACCTCACTATATGTTTCCCCTAATTCCATTATGGCAATCAATGAAATGGGACACATGAATATTCATCACCCCCATATTCAAGACATAATGATGGAGCCCAGGCGATAAACAAGTTCATACTCGATATGAGAACCCCTTCCATGGTTGTACTTTACCATACCTATGATGCATTTCTATAACTTTATTTTGAATGTTCGCTATGGTAGTAGCTAACCCATCATCATTGGGGAAGGAAAGGACGATTCGAACCTATGGGTATTTCGCAGAGCAGGAAAGGGAGGACTGTTCCCCGGAAAGTACCATTATTA